AAAATGTGTTGAGGCCAGATGCGGAATGCGCATTCGCAGCCGTGTCACGACTCCTTTGTTTTGCCGACCATCACGCTGGCACCATCAGAGGCAACGCTGGAGATCTTCTGGAGGTCGACCCCGATACCTGTGAGATACTGCACGACAGCAGATGTGAGTGAGGCACCGTCAGCACGATCAACAGTAATGAGTGTTAAGAACTCTGTAACCATCGTGGTGCGCTGGAAGAGCGTGGCGCAAAGAATGAGGTGCTTCCCATGCACCCGATCCGTGCTCTCGTCGAGGGAAATCTCTATCCACGGGGATTCAAGCAGGTGCGAACGTTGTTTCTCTTGAAGGTATATTGAGAGTGCGCGCAGGTTTTCCTTGAATCTGTTGACAAAATTAGAAGAAAGAAAGAGGGTTGAACTAGCAGGAATGAGGATACAAATAGCAAGACCCTAGAAGGGTTGTACTCGCTATAGAGCACCCCACTACAGGCTAGAGCATAAGATAATATTCTGACATCTGTAATTGCCAGGGGAAAACACATGTCGTCAAATCATAGAGTGCATAATACAAAATACACCAGGTTCACCAACGCTTGCCACCACTTAGTCTGTGTAGTATGCGCCGTAGCCGCCAGCGGGAGGAAGGTCTGGTAACCCCTCCTTCGTCAGAAACCAGCACAGCAGGACGAACATCGCTATGGGTGCGTCCGCCTTGCAGACAAAGAGCGCGATGTGGAGGAGCCGAATGATGTGACGGGTGGAAGCGTCCGTGATCTGCCACCGAGTGAGTGTGGCCTGCTTCGCCTTCTCCGCCTCCGCCTTCTCTTGAGTCTCCACCGCATTCTTGTGTGCACGGGTCGAGGAGTGGGTGTGGATCCTGCCGATCTGGAGATCCCGAGCACCCTCACCCTTCGCCCCATAAGTCGTGTGCGCTAGTGGATCTCCGTGCTTCACACAAATGGCACACTTCAAAGACGGACGTCCGTTAGACATGCGGAGCAAACGCAACCATTTGAAACTACCTGCCCACTGAGCCTTAAACGTCTTCTTTACCAACTCGTACTCAGCATCTGCCCGAGCGGTGGGTGGCTTCGGATCGGCCGAAGGAGCATGGCGCTTGTGTGAAGTAGCGTTTTGGGGAGGAGGGGCGCCCTAGAGCGTCTGCTGCTTGTACGTAGTTCCCACACGCGGTCGCTTGACCGGTGCTGACATTCGAAGGCGAAGCAGTATGCGGCTTTGACGAGCCCTCGCCACCTCCGGGAACTAGTTATATGTCAGGATGTGGCTCCCACGGCGTGGGTGAGTCTGGCGGCTCGAACGGATAAACCCTTCTTACCACACATTCTGGTGACGGCTCACGAGGCGGCGGCTGTGCGATGGGCACGACGTAGTTCTCGCTAAGGCGTGGTAAAGCGCCCAGCACGGAGAGGCCGTTTCTTGCGCCATCAGGTGGATCGGGCTCTCCAGTGGGCATTGTGGAGTTGAAAGTTGAGAATGGTTGAGAATAAAGGCCAAGCGAGAGACCCCCTCGTAGAGAACGACCCTCTGGCAGCCTCGAAAGGGCCGTTTCTTCTACAGGGCGGGAAGTGTATGGCCAGCAAGGCAGGACTGGGCATGCAAGTTGTTGTTAAGGACAGCTTGCAGCTGTTCTTGACAGCTTGAAGCTGTCCTTGACAGCCAATTCTGCTGTGATGGCGGTGGGCGTGGCGACAAGTATCGAGATTCAAGAATGTGTTGGCAGTCCTACGCGTGGTCACAAGCGACAACCGGTGTTTGTGGGGGTGTTGTACGTTTCGTCACCACGCGGCCTATGGTCTGATTCGCGTTAGAAAAGATTCGGTAAAAGGGTAGTGTACACCAAGCCCTGATTCCGTCAGGGTAGCCTAAAAACCTATCAAGGTAAAATAAAACATGCTCTTTTAAGAGAAGGGTAACTATTGTGCAATCCTGATTTTGGCAGGGTAATCCTGAAAAACGGCCAGCCCCAAGGGTAATCAGGGCGTTTGACCCTGATATTTTGGGCCCTGGTCACAGACCCCATCTCTTCTCAGGACCCATAGACAAAGCCTGCTCTAAGGAACACAAATACTAGAACCCGATCCAAGTGGGTCAGATTCCTTGCCATGGCGGCTGAATGATCCGTCTAATTATTCCCAAGGGTGTTCCGGTACATACGACCCTATGCCAATGTTGCAACCAAACGACTACACAATGCGGAACCATCGTCCCTGGTGAAATCTCTCTTACACTGTTTTTATGTGAATCATCCCAGTTCTCGTACAATAAGAGGGCCATTCTAAACGGAGTCACTTGCAAGTCAACACATGACTAGTGTGACTGATAGCCTGCCAGGTCAGCAGCGGCATGAGGGCTGGAACCTGGCTCCAGGCGACCGCGCTCCATGAGGACCTAAGGGCGTGTTAAATCGCCACACAATTCCGAAAATAGGGTGTGGCCGAATTTTCGACGACCAAATGGTCGTCATATTTTTCGCGAACAACGTCGAGGTGGCCGAATCAGAGTCGACTCTTTAACAGCCAAAATTTACAGTTTTGACACGTGTATTTTCTCTGTAAAGTTTCTCAATTCTTGGGTCATGTTTCATTTGACACGTGTATTTTCTCTGTAAACGTTTGACGAAACGGGCCATTGTGTCGACATCGTGAACAACTAAGTGTTGCCTTCGTGCCTTCCTTTCCGCATTGATACCGAGACTCCTCACACCAGACCAAACTGCAACTGTGCGTGGAATAGTAAGGGCGTGTTACATTTTCGTTTTTTTCCGGGCTGGACCGGACCGTCAGAACGGTTCAAAGTGGTATATTTTTAGAACGATTGGTTCAAGTGGGTTTCTAAACGTTTTAGAGTGGTGACTGTCCGAACAGTGCGGAAAAATCGAAAATGTAACACGCCCTAAGCATGGCTTACAGTAACTCCCATCTAAGATTCCTAGTTGGCCTGACAGGAGTGTGTGCTCCTGCACGCGGCTGACGGGACTCACGGAATCGCATCCGGCGCTACCTTCCGCGCTAGGCGCTCACGTGCACCCGCTGCGCGCCGAGCAACGATATTCCATCAACGTAGTATCAGGAAAGTAGCGGTTTTAACGCGTTCTTTTGTACCAGCATTCGGCGTGACTCTAACACCAGGTCGCTGTCTCCGCCGCCGCCGCCCATGCCGCGCCAGCCGCGGATGGTTCCGCTCAGCCATCTCCGCCTGCTCTCCGCCGTCGTCGCCGCGCTGCTTCTCTCACCCGCATGTGTCCGCTCCCCGCCACTCGCGCGCGCGCAGCTCTGGGCCAAGTCGCAGCGTGAGTGACTTTCGCGGCGCCTCGGATCATGTCGCCACCGCGCTGATTCTATCACCCGCGTGTTCGCTCTCCCCGCCGCCGCCACTCCTAGCGCGCGCGTAGTTCTTCTAGCGTAGTCCTCGTGCGCGCCGGGCCGGGCCGCGGCGTTCCTCGTGCGCGCCGTAGTCGTAGTTGGTTCTAGTACGGCCGGGGTATTAACAGAGCCTACACGCGCTTTGTAGGTTGTTGCTAATGTGTTGTGCGGCATCATGCGGCATCATGCGGCATCATGTGGCATCATGGAATGCAATGCGGCACCATTTTGATTATTCCCCAGCATCCACAGCCTGTGCCTCATGTCTTGGAGCCACATGAGATCATGATGATGGCACTAGTAGTAGTGGTAAGGCTTCCACTGCCCACCTGATTCTCTTCAGCGCAATCTAGGCATCGTAGAACGCAATGCACCGTCTTATGAGTGATTTTTGAGAACTCTAAAAAATCACTCGCAAGAACGTAAAGCACCCGTCCCCGGCGATCCGTTAAACAGGAACTTCATTTCCCCCCGTCCCCTTTTCCAAATCCCAACTCCTCCCCTTCACCCCTTCTTCCCCGCACTCCTCCTTTATTTCCCGTTTTCCCTACTTCTCCCGCCCCCGTCCCGCGTCCCCTTCCCCCTTGTCTCACCCGGCAGTGACGTTTCTGACGGATTGCCAGGCGGCATGGACGCGCACTTTCAGCGAATGGGACTCGACCGCCAATTGTAGCAAGGCCGTGTTCGTCACATGCGACCAGGACGGCATGCTCACCACCATGTGCGCACATGGATTGGCATGGTGTGGCATGGCATGGTCTGGCGTGGCATAGCATGGTGTGGCATGGCATAGCATGGGGTGGCATGGCGTGGCATGGCGTGGCATGCATGTCAACCACTCACGGGTTCCGCTTGTGCCACGTGCCACCTGTGAGGATTCTCCTAAATGACACATGCATCGCCTCGCCTCCCCCTTTCCTCTCTCTCCACCCCCCTTTTCCACCCTCCGCCCTTGCAGGGCTCTCGTATCCCAGTCGCTCACAGGGTTCCTGCCATCATCCGTGGGAGCTGCCACACGCCTCTCCAGTCTGTTAGTGCACATGTTGCTCCATTCTGGCTATATCAGCGTCACTTCTGCGAATTCTCAAGAGTTTCATGTGTAGGTTCTGTGCTGTGCTGCCGTGCTCGCTGCATTCCTGTGCATGGTTCGTTTGCATTGCATGCTCAGCTGTGTGTGCGTGTGCCTTTGCGTGCCTGCCTGTGAGTGCGTGCGTGTGTGTCCGCGCGTGTGTGTGTGTGCGCGCGCGTGTGCATGCACGAATCCCAACAGGAGCTTCTACAACAACACTCTGAGTGGTTCCATTCCAGACACCATCGGCAACCTTCTCTCACTGAATCACTTGTGAGTCACACCAACCAGCCAACAGTGCAACAGTCCAACAGTGCAGCAGCGTTGAAGTGGAAAATTGGATTAGTGCACGTATGGGCATTTATGCACTCTTGAAGCGCCACCCACCAAAACAAAAGAAAGCAGCCTGCCAATGTCGTTAAGCTTCCTCGCTCTATCGCATACCCTTCTAAGGTATGCGGAAACCATACCACAGACAGTCGTCAGCCCCAGGTCCAAGATCTCACCCGCCCCTTCCATGCTCTCTCCCTCATGCTCTCCGTGTAATGCTCTTGGCAGTGATATCGCGTCCAACAAGTTTTCAGGATTCTTGCCTTCCGCCATTGGGAAGCTCTCCCGGCTCACTTTCCTGTACACCCCTGCTTCACTGCCTTGCTTGGCCTCTTTGGATTGGGTAGATCGTCCTTGATCAGGCTTGAGCATGCTTCATTGCGTTTTATTGTGCTTGACCATGCTTGACCATGATCGATCAAACTCCCAGCCTCCAGGTGGCCCATAGCGTGCACATGTGCTCGGTCCCTCTGCAGTCATCTACCTTTCTCCATGATTCTACCAGCCTTCTCTCTCTTGCTACAAGTCCATCCTCCCATCCACAACACCCCGTATGCATCTCCATTTCTCGTCCTACCCCACCATCCTCCGACCCTCTCACTCTCCCTCCACCCTCCTGTCGCCACACCCACACTCCCACGTCCCCATCGCCACCACCACCACCACCACCACCACCACCACCACCACCACCACCACCACCACCACCACCACCACCACCACCACCACCACCACCACCACCACCACCACCACCACCACCACCACCACCACCACCACCACCACCACCACCACCACCACGACGCATGGCAGGACGGTGTCTCATAATCGACTGGAAGGCAATGTTCCCAAGACCATCTCCTCCCTCACCAACCTCCAGAAGCTGTCAGTCACATGCACGCATGGATGCACAGATGCAGTGTGCGTCTGCGAGCACGCACTGAAGAGCACCTTGCCTCGCCTCACTTCTCCCTCTCTCTTCCTCCTGCCTTTTGCCCAGCCCCTCTCGCCCTGTCCCTCTCGCCCTGTCCCTCTCGCCCTGTCGCTCCCTCCATGAATCGCTTCCCTTTCTTCTCTGCGTCTGTCCCACAGGTATTGTTCTTAGCGCCTCCCTGCGTGTGTATACCCACAAGCACCCACATGGACCCACAGTATCCCACTACTTTCCTTCTGGGAATACTCACAGTGCTCCCCCACGCCTGCCATCTCTCTGCCATCCGGCCTGCGCTCTTTATCCCGTGTGTCTCCTCCCGACCCGGCAGGAGTATGTTCAACAACTCGTTCTCGGGTGACATCCCTCCTGCCATCTATGGACTCAAGGCGCTCAACTTGCTGTATGCCATGCATGCACCCATGAACCCGTAGGGTACAAGTAGTGCGGCGTGGTAGGCGTAGGAGTGCGGGTCACAAGACTAGCTGACGAGAGGGCGGGGAAAGGGGATAAGCTAGGGGGGTTGTTGAGGCGGTTGGAAGAGAGAGACCATGATGGCATGCGATGCCATGCATGTTCCCCCACGAGTTATGGAGCAGGGAGCAAGGAGCAGGGAGCAGGGAGTAAAGGAGCGACTGCTTTAAGGAGTCCTTTGGAGAATTCTCAAAAGCGACTCAAATCCCCCTCCCACCTCGTGCATGAGCAGGGAGCTAGGGCGCAACTACTTCACAGGGTCCTTCCCCTCGCAGTTCGGAGACCTGGTTAACCTCCAGTACTTGTGAGGCCGCACCCTGCTTGCTCTCCACCCATGTGCCATGTGCCTATGTACCATGTGCCATGTGCCTATGTACCATGTGCCATGTGCCTATGTACCATGTGCCATGTGCCTATGTACCGTGTGCCATGTGCCTATGTACCATGTGCCATGTGCCTATGTACCGTGTGCCATGTGCCTATGTACCATGTGCCATGTGCCTATGTACCATGTGCCATGTGCCTATGTACCATGTGCCATGTGCCTATGTACCATGTGCCAATGTGCCTATATACCATGTGCCATGTGCCTATGTATCATGTGCCGTGTGCCTATGTACCGTGTGCCATGTGCCTATGTACCATGTGCCATGTGCCTATGTACCGTGTGCCATGTGCCTATGTACCATGTGCCATGTGCCTATGTACCGTGTGCCATGTGCCTATGTACCATGTGCCATGTGCCTATGTACCGTGTGCCATGTGCCTATGTACCATGTGCCATGTGCCTATGTACCATGTGCCATGTGCCTATGTACCATGTGCCATGTGCCTATGTACCATGTGCCATGTGCCTATGTACCATGTGCCAATGTGCCTATATACCATGTGCCATGTGCCTATGTATCATGTGCCATGTGCCTATGTACCGTGTGCCATGTGCCTATGTACCATGTGCCATGTGCCTATGTACCGTGTGCCATGTGCCTATGTACCATGTGCCATGTGCCTATGTACCGTGTGCCATGTGCCTATGTACCATGTGCCATGTGCCTATGTACCGTGTGCCATGTGCCTATGTACCATGTGCCATGTGCCTATGTACCATGTGCCATGTGCCTATGTACCATGTGCCATGTGCCTATGTACCATGTGCCATGTGCCTATGTACCATGTGCCAATGTGCCTATGTACCATGTGCCATGTGCCTATGTACCATGTGCCATGTGCCTATGTACCGTGTGCCATGTGCCTATGTACCATGTGCCATGTGCCTATGTACCGTGTGCCATGTGCCTATGTACCGTGTGCCATGTGCCTATGTACCGTGTGCCATGTGCCTATGTACCATGTGCCTATGTACCATGTGCCATGTGCCTATGTAGCATGTGCCATGTGCCTATGTACCGTGTGCCATGTGCCTATGTACCATGTGCCATGTGCCTATGTACCATGTGCCATGTGCCTATGTACCATGTGCCAATGTGCCTATGTACCATGTGCCATGTGCCTATGTACCATGTGCCATGTGCCTATGTACCGTGTGCCATGTGCCTATGTACCATGTGCCATGTGCCTATGTACCGTGTGCCATGTGTTAGAAGAGAGAGAATTGATACATTGAATAATGAGCCAAGAGGCTCTTTAGTACAAACAATGAGCAAGAGAGAGATGGGAGGGAAGCTTACCCTATTGGCCAATAAGTTGGCCAATGGGTGAGTTTGCTTGTGACCCAAGCAACCACAAATGTGTGTTGGTTGGGATTGGTTGAGCTAAGGACCAATCCCAACCAACCACAAAATGTGGTTGGAGGGTACACTAAGCAACCCCCTAATTTATAAATGTGCTACACTTCTAGCCTATGTATGTTGTATGAGATATGAAATTACAACACCATGTGCCTATGTGCCGTGTGCTATGTGCCTATGTACCATGTGCCATGTGCCTATGTACCATGTGCCATGTGCCTATGTACCATGTGCCATGTGCCTATGTACCATGTGCCATGTGCCTATGTACCGTGTGCCATGTGCCTATGTACCGTGTGCCATGTGCTTTCTTGCATGTGCTGTCCACTATCCACGTACCTTGCTTCCTCCTAGGACTCGGCCCTGCTCTCGCTTCACCACTTGAGAGCACTCCATCCACCATGCTGGGAATCAACATGGCATGTGGAATGGTATGGCAGGGAGGCGAGCTACATGGGTCTGACAGGCGAGCTGCACTCGAGCCTGGGCAACTTGAAGAATCTTCAAACGCTGTGAGTTGGAGGAGCAACACACCACACACGTACACTACACACACCACACATACAGCACACACACCACACACGTACACCACACACACACACCACACACATACACAACAGCATAAATGGCTTTCATATCCACCCCCAAATGCTACACCCATCTCACCACATAAAAACTTGGCAGAACAAACACAACAGAACAGAACAAATCACGTCACACACAAAACGCAACACACAGGATGCAGCAAACTCATTACCTGACGCTCGCCTGGCTCATGACTCAAAGTTCCACAATCCCCTTGTTTCCCCACACCCATTGCCGCACCCATCGCCCCACCCACCGCCCCACCCACCGCCCCACCCACTGCCCCACCCGTCGCCGCACCCACCGCCGCACCCATCGCCCTGCAGCGCTGTGCGTGAGAACGCCCTTCAAGGCAGCATCCCTGCCATTCTGGGTCGCCTCGGCGGTTTCACCGTCATGTAAGCTACCAGTGGTGGAACTTGTATGAGTTTTGAGACATTTTATGCAACTTCACTAGCCAGCAGAGCCAAACGTGACTGTTGGTTCGTCTTACAAGTCACCTCACTCTGGGTCGCAAAAAAATGAGAGAAAACCCCCTTGTGTATGCCAGAAGCGCCTTTTTTTTTTTTTTTTTCTTAGCAGTCATTGCCTAATAAACCTTCCCTCTTCTTGTCACTCCAATCTTTCCTCCCTCTCCACACACACCATCTCCTCGCTCCCCTCCACGAGCATCAGTCAGCTAGGCGGTAATCAGCTCACCGGCTCCATCCCTGCTTCCTTCTCCAACCTCGTCAACCTGCAAGGCTTGTGCGTTGCTCCTCCTCCCTCTGCTCCTCCTCCCTCTGCTCCTCCTCCCTCTGCTCCTCCTCCCTCTGCTCCTCCTCCCTCTGCTCCTCCTCCCTCTGCTCCTCCTCCCTCTGCTCCTCCTCCCTCTGCTCCTCCTCCCTCTGCTCCTCCTCCCTCTGCTCCTCCTCCCTCTGCTCCTCCTCCCTCTGCTCCTCCTCCCTCTGCTCCTCCTCCCTCTGCTCCTCCTCCCTCTGCTCCTCCTCCCTCTGCTCCTCCTCCCTCTGCTCCTCCTCCCTCTGCTCCTCCCTCTGCTCCTCCTCCCTCTGCTCCTCCTCCCTCTGCTCCTCCTCCCTCTGCTCCTTCTCCCTCTGCTCCTCCTCCCTCTGCTCCTTCTCCCTCTGCTCCTTCTCCCTCTGCTCCTTCTCCCTCTGCTCCTTCTCCCTCTGCTCCTCATCTCTCTGCGCCTCCCCTCTCTGCATCACTCCCTATTCAGCAACAGGATAATGAAACACTTTTCGTTGCCCTTACAACTCCCTCACCCCCTTACTCTTTCTCACCCTTCCCACCCCTCGCCATCCTTCCCCACCTTCTCCTCCCCCGCGGCCTACCTGACTGCTGTCTCAATTGCTTTCTCCCATGCAGCTACATGTGGAATAATCAGCTGAATGGGTCAATGGATGTGATCACCAGATTTACCGCTGTGGAGCAGATGTGAGTCATGCTACCACCCATGCTGCCATTTATGCTGTCATCCCTATTTCCACCCGTGCATTGGTGCGCTGTGCCATGCTCTGTCTATTGGTCCGCATCTTATTGAAAGGGCAGAAGCAACAAGAGCGAGCATCGGGTTCTTGGCCCCACATCCCTCACCGTACCACACCCCTCTCTCTCACTGCCCATGCGTGCACCCCTTTTGTCCGCAGAGCCATTCAGTACAACCAGTTTACGGGGTCCATTCCCACAGCCATTGGGCTGCTGCAGTCACTCAACCACTTGTCAGTCGTGCCGTGCACATTTCCATGCCCATGCCCATGCCTATGCACATGCACATGCACATGCGCATGCATTGACACGCACATACAGACTCGCATGCACATACTTGCCATGCACACGTCTATTGTGGTCCACATGCATGCGCGCGCATGCTCGAGGCTGCAGGTGTTTCTTTTTTTTCAGAATTCTGAAGAACCACCTTCTCAAGGCTCTGCCCCTCACCATCATTCGAGCTGACTTATGAGTCACCTCACCTACTCGAGGCTCTCGAGGCTCTGGTGCTCACCATCATTACTCACATTCCTTGTGTGTCCCTTCATTCCTATTCACCATCCTCACCCTTTTCCTACCCCATCGCCGGGACTATCTGACCACATACCCATGCTGCCTCTCCAATCTCGCTTCGCTTAGTGGCCTACCCTCTGCTCCGCTGTTTCTACCCACTCGCACGGCCTCTGTCTCCAGTCTCGTTGCCACCATATCCCTTCCCTCGGTTCGCTTTCTAAAACTCGTGTTCCCTGACACGCCTGTCTGATGTGAGCCCCTGCAATGCTGGATTGGCTCATTGGATGCCATGGGGTATGGGGTATGGGGCATGTGGCATGGGGCATGTGGCATATGGTATTTGGCATGTGGCATGTGTCATGTCGCACATTGCATGGGTGCAATGGCAGTGACGTATCGAGCAACAAGCTAACGGGTGAAATACCGACAACAGTACGCAGCCTCATCAACCTCACCACCTTGTCAGTGCTGCCACAACCCATCCCTGGGCCCGGCTTCTGAGATTCTCCCTCTAGACACGCTCTCCCCGTATGCATGCCCTCCTCCCCCTATGCATGCCCTCCTCCCCCTATGCATGCCCTCCTCCCCCTATGCACGCTCTTCCCCCTATGCACGCTCTTCCCCCTATGCACGCTCTTCCCCCTATGCACGCTCTTCCCCCTATGCACGCTCTTCCCCCTATGCACGCTCTTCCCCCTATGCACGCTCTTCCCCCTATGCACGCTCTTCCCCCTATGCATGCTCTTCCCCCTATGCACGTTCTTCCCCCTATGCACGCTCTTCCCCCTATGCACGCTCTTCCCCTATCCATGCTCTCCCGCTATGCTTACACTCCTATAGGAAGGCACCAGTTCATCTAACATCCACTACATACATGCCTGTCCCTCCCGACTAACTGTCCCTTTCATTCTCCCCCCTTGTCCTCACCTCACTACCAAAATTCTCGCATGCATACATGCAAGCCGGCTTACCCGCGTGCCTCCATGCCTCCTTGCCTTTCACACACCCTGCATCCATGCTCCTGGTATTGACCTCCTTTTCACATACACTCATCCGTCGCTTCCCCTGCCCTTCTTCCACAATGCCCGGTTCTGGTTCTTCTGACCGTGCCCCAACCCAACCACGGTCTCCTCCCTGTGCCAATGGTGCCAGCGTCACCATTCTCATCTCATTCCCTCTGCTTTCACCCTGCGTGCGGCATGGCAGCAATGTGTCGCACAACAATCTCACCGGCTACTTACCTGCCTCCATGTTCGCCCTCTCCAAGCTCACAAAAATGTACGCATTTGAGTCGACTCAAAAGCAGTCCCTCTCCAAAACTCACAAACTTTACGCACCTCGCACCTCACTTAATCCCTCATTTTTTGTTTTCACTATTATAATCTCAAGAGCCGTACTGAAAGCTCACTCATATATGTGCACCTCGCCCTTCCCACCTCCAAAAGCCCCACCCACCCGAGTCACCCTCCCTTTCTCTCTTGCGCATGCAATTTCTTCTCCATTTTTCAGGGCCTTATGCTTCTGGCAGCGATTCGGCATCACACCTCTCCTCTCCCTTTCCCGCTTCCTTCTCCCCTTTCAGAATTCGGAGAAGATATTTTGCCTGATACCTCTCTCTTCCCCGCTTCCTTCTCCCCCCTTCACTCCCTCCCCCTCCCCTGCTCCTGCCCCTCCCCTCCTCCTCTCCCTCCCCTCCTCCCTCCTCCCCTCCTCCCACCACTCTCTCCACTCTCAGTGACGTCACACAAGACTCCCCAGGGCTGGTGACATGCCCGCCAATTGACGCGGTGGAGTGTGCAGCAGTGACAAGCACTGACGTTGGGGCTTACTGCTTGATCTGTTCCGACTTCTGCATCAAATGCCCCTTTCTGAGTGAGTGTGCCGCCTGCCGCTGATTTGTCTGCAATTTCGGGTCTCATGAGTGAGGGAGGGAGGGAGGGTTCGAGTGATTGTGATTGAGTGAGTGAGTGAATGAGTGAATGAATGGGTAAGTGGGTGAGAGGGGAGTGGGTGAGTGAGCAGGAGCCAATGGCACGACACAGCATGCTTGAATTGGGTACCGCCTCAAGCACCTCCCACCTCCCATCTCCCAACTGCACACGTCTCTTCCCCTTTCTTCTTTGCGCCTGCGCTCAGCTTTTCAGCTCCCCTTTCCGCCTCATCAGGTGATGAGACAACGCCTCTTTAGAGGCCTCAAAGTATCTCCTTGCCATCATATTCATCCTCCCCATTCTCTACCTGCCAACAACACATGCCGCTCTCCTGCCCACATCCTCCATCTCACACTCACCGCATGCTCCTCCTTTATAACCCACACAACTTCCCAATCTTCCCCACCCCCTCTACCTCCCCCCGCTTTCCCCCCCAACACCTTCCTCCTCGTGACTACTTGGTAGAATTGTTCAAGCCACCACCACCAGCACCACCAGCCAGCCCCCCTCCAGCAATCTCCCCACCACCACCACTCCCTTCACCCCCACCACCCGCTCCCCCCATCTCACCTCCTCCCCGCTCACCAGCACCCCCTCCTCCTTCCCCTCAGCCCTCTCCTCCCCCTCCTCCCCCTCCATCCTTGCCTCCCTTCGTTCCATCGCCCCCTCCTCCGCCTCCACCTTCCTCCGCGGGGCTATCAGTGGGGGCCATTGCGGGGATCGCCGTGGCGGGTGTTTCCGTGCTCGCACTGCTGCTGCTGCTGCCGCTGCTCTTCTTCCGCAGGCGGAAACAGCCAAAACCGTTCTCGCAGATTGATGATGATGCCGCCGCTGCTGCTGCAGCAGCAGCAGCTGCATCCGCCTCAGCCGCTGCTGGTGCCTCAGGTAGATACGAGTGGTAGGACAAGAGCCCAGTTTGTTGCTTGAGCCCAGTTTGTTGCTTAAGCCCAGTTTGTTGCTTGAGCCCAGTTTGTTGCTTGAGCCCAGTTTGTGCTAGAGGACTCTGCTGCTGCACCAGATGAGTGGTTCCTCATTTCAAAAGGTTCTTCTCCTAAGTAGAAGAATATGAGAGGCTGTTCTTGAGTCAGCCGAGCAGGAGGTTGAATGGCAAGACAAGGGTGACTTGTGAGTCCACTTTTGAGACGTCTCAAGAGCTTGGATTGGAAGGGTGTTGGTATTTCTTGAGCTGGCTCAACATACGCCTCAAAACTCCTCCGCACCGCACCCCTCTCACCCACCACCCTCCCGCACCCCCCATCCCCAACCATCTCCCCCTCCCCTCTCTACAGGGAGCGCGAGTGGGTCCAAGGGTCCCTCGGGGCCAGCGCAGGCGGCGGGGCCGGCGGTGTGTCGGCAGTACCGGCTGGACGTGCTGGCAGCGGCAACGGGCATGTGGGCGGAGGCCAACAAGATCGGCAGCGGGGGGTTCGGGGACGTGTACCGTGCTGAGGACCCTGCCGACCCCTCCACGCTCTGGGCTGTCAAGCGCGCCAAAGTGCTCACCAATGACTTCCGACGGGAGGTGAGAGGCATGGGGTGTGGATGGGACTAGCAACTGCGATCCCACTGCTCACCTGTGAATTCTGCCGTGAGGTGGGCTGACTGGGGGTGTGGAGGGGGTGCCGAGGTGCCTCGTTTGATGAATGAGAAGTTCACGGTACCACTCTGTCTTCACGCTTCCTTCTCATGCTCCCGCTCCTGTTCGTGCTCCTCTCTCCTCCCACGCCCTCCTCATGGCTATCCACCCTGTGCCGTGTGCGCATGCAGGTGAACGAGATGGCATCGAAGCACCACCCACACCTGGTGCGGCTGCTGGGGTTCTGCATCGACGTCAACAAGGCCACGGAGCAGACGGAGCAGATCCTCATCTATGAGTTCATGCCCAACGGCGACCTTGAGCGCTGGCTCGGCCCCGGTGTGTTCAACTCACTCAATTACTTACCATGCCCTCTCTTGTGCTGCCTTGCTTGTCCTCACTTGTCCTCACTTGTCCTCTCGTACTGTTAACACGAGTGCATACTCTTTGACTCACATGTGGTGACTTGGAGATTACGCGAGGCTCGTTTAGTCATCTGTGTGCGAGTCTGTTGCATGATGTGAAGTGCGGTCCATGTGCTAGGAGAGATTCTCGGTTATTTATTTCCTGAATGCATGTCTCTCCCACCAATGTCGTCACCACCACTGCTCGAGCTCTTCCTGCTGCCCACCTTCGCGCTTGGCCCTTGGCTGTGCGATGCTCCCACACGTCCCACCCAGGACGTCCCTCCCCACAGCACCTCACTGCCTTTTCCTCCTCTTCCCCGCGTGTCGCTTTTGTTCCTTCCTTCCCTGCTGCAGCTGCCGCCCAGCCGCTCTCTCTGCTGCAGCGCGTGGAAGTGATGATCGGAGTGGCGGAGGGGCTGCAGTATCTGCACAGCTTTGGCATCGTGCATCGCGACATCAAGCCCGCCAACATCCTGCTGGACTCCAACATGCAGGTGAGCACACGGAGCTATACGGCTTCGTAGCATCTCTGCGCTTGCGTTCAGTGCCATGCCATGCCAGCACACAACATACCTACATGTGCTTCGCTGATGCCTGCTGGATGCGGCTTTCATGCGCTGTGGCAGCAAGGAAGAACGCAGCAAAGGTAGCACCAAGGAAGCAGGAGGTGTGTTGTTGGCGTCTTTTGTCTTGTTGTTTCTTCTCCATTGGCTGCCTGTACTGTCCATGCCTCGGCAGGTACAGATAGCAGACTTTTCTCCTTGCTTCCTCTTTGTTGGCTGCACGTCCCATCCACGGCAGGCAAAGGTAGCAGACTTTGGGCTGGTCAGGATGGGCGAGGGCACGACAGTGGGAGCCACGCGGGTGATGGGCACACCGGGCTATGTGGACCCGGCTTACTACAAGTCACAGAAGGCCACCCCCAAGGCTGATGTGCACAGGTATGGGTGATGTGCACAGGTATGGGTGATGTGCACAGGTATTGCTGATGTGCACAGGTATGGGTGATGTGCACAGGTATGGGTGATGTGCACAGGTATTGCTGATGTGCACAGGTATGGGTGATGTGCACAGGTATGGCTGATGTGCATGGGTCGGAGAACACTGCCCAAAACCCTTGTGTTCCGGTGTCGACCTTGCAGTGCATGCTGTGCTTTTCGGTCTACTAAGTGAATATCATTTGTTCGTCTCTCTTCCGTGCCCTGTACCTCCCATGCCTCCCTCGCCCCTCATAGCTTTGGAGTGGTGATGCTCACGATCCTGACGGCACGCAAGGCCATCTACAACTCGGACGACAACCAGATCAACCTCAAGCAATGGGTCCGTGCCCTCCCGCCCTCCCCTCCCTGCTCCTGCTCTTCCTGCACATGCCCATGCTCATGACGCTCTTGCTGTGCTCATGCCATGCTCCAGCACATCTCCATGCCCATGCCATGCCCATGCACTTGCATAAGCTCTCACTCTCTTCCATCCCTGTGGGCATGCATGTGCACGTGTGCACCTCAACCATCTCCCACTCATCCCTATGCGTCCTCCGTCGGTCGTCATTGGCCAAAGCACCATATTCCTCACCGTCACCCCGTTTCTCTCCTCCCTCATCTCCCTCCTCTCCTCTCCTCTCCTCTCCTCTCCTCTCCTCTCCTCTCCTCTCCTCTCCTCTCCTCTCCTCTCCTCTCCCCTCCCCCTCCCCTCCTCTCCCCACCTTTCCTCTCCCCTCCTCTCCTCCCCATTCCCCTCCTCTCCTCCCCTCTCCCCTCCTCTCCTCTCCTCTCCCTTCACCTCCCCCTTCCACCTCCCACCCCGCACCCACCAGGTGGCACCATTCATAGCAGCCAACGACGGGGTGACCTTCAAGGACCCCTCTCTGGAAGCCCCACCAGACATCATCCTGCGCCTGGCACGCCTGGCTCTTTCCTGCACCGCCATGCCCACTGTGCTCCGCCCCAACATGATCAAAGTGCTTGCTGCATTGGAGGCTCTGCGCGAGGAGGTCTGCGGTGCTACCCGTAACCGGATGGCGAAGCGGATTGACATGGAGATTGAGGACAAGCAGGGGCACAACCTGGAGGAGGAGGTGGCGAATGCGATTAGAATAGGGTCTAGCGGAGATGATGGAGAGAGAAGGAAACGCAGTGAGTGAGTGAGGGAGTGATGAGGAGGGCTGTGGGCCAGGTTTTTTTATCAGAGTAATTACTCTGTTTCTCTGAAAATCAGAGTGGTTTTTAGGGGGTCACTCTGACATGTCTGGGTATTTTTTTGGGAAGATATGTTTTCTCTGATTTGTGAGGGTTCTGATTTTAGCTACTCTGAGAGACCAGTGTATATTTATGGCGAATGTATTTTTCTCTGTACAGGGTACAGGCATTTTGATTGACCTCCCCTGAGGCATAGTATGTATTTATAAATATATATTTTATCGGATGGAATAGTGAGCGCGTAGCACAATGGTTACAACTAGATAGGAGCGCAGAAGGCATGGGTTCAGTACTCGGTACGACACACAGAGAAGTAAACATGAGTACCGTACCTTAATTGCCCAGAGTAATTTTTTTCAGAAGTTTTCTCTGACAAATCAGAGTAATGCTCATAATGAACCCTGAATTTCAGAGTTCCCTAGAATACAGCTCTGGAAATCCAAAAAAAAGCCCTGGCTGTGGCCCTGTATGAAGGGCGTTGGATTGAGAAAGCTTGCTTTCTGTTCTTGCAAAGGCAACTGGCTTCATTACAATTGCAGTAATACAACATTCTCGTCCAACTATGGATCATACAAATATTGGTACAACTAGGGCGGGTGGGTGGGGAGTGAAACTGCAAAGTTCTGAAATGAAGTCGTCGGTGGAGGCCGAATGGCCTCCAACTCTCGTTATGTACTCGGCGAATTGTAATTCACCGCTGCTTTGCTTCGTTACAGGCAGCTGCGCTTTCACAATACGCATTTTTAGAAAGTGTTACACACTTTCGAAAAAAATATTTACAAAATAAGGTGATTTGGTAGGTGTGTGTGTGTCTGTGTGTGTGTGTGTGTGTGTGTGTGTGTGTGTGTGTGTGTGTGTGTGTGTGTGTGTGTGTGTGTGCGCTGCCTTATCAGGACAGCTATTTTTTTAGGCGGCTCTACTATTGCCTTTGTAGGAGTGACTTTGTGGCCCTACGATATCAGTATTTTTTTTCCTCAAATTCCTGATTTTCAGTGATTTTTTGTGTTCAGCTTTTTGTGGGACTGATTTTTCAGCCTTTTCCTGCCAGATGACACTGAACTTTCAGGTTTTTTTTTGTTTAAGGACACTGATTCCACTACGTTGTACCGAAACTTGTCAGAATGTTATCTTATGCTCTAGCCTGTAGTGGGGTGCTCTATAGCGAGTACAACCCTTCTAGGGTTTGCTATTTGTATCCCCATTCTTGCTAGTGCAGCCCCTCTTCTCTCTTCAAACCTTTCGCATGCTATCAGAGCAGGTCGATCCCCTTGGATCGATCCTGTGGGTGGGCTTACCACCTCCTAGCTTCCGCTGCAACTCCTACCACTACACTCTGAGCCGCACGCCCCGTGGCGTGCGGCACTTGTTATTCCCGCCGTGGGCCCCGAGGCGCGCGGCGGTTTTCGGCCCGCCGTGCGCCCTGAGGCGCGCGGCGGTTCTCTGCCCGCTGTGCGCCCCGAGGCGCGCGGCGGGGTTCCGCCCCGTCGTTCGCCGCGTCGTCCTCTGGAGGCGCCGCGACGGGCGACGGGGACCCGTCTCGGCGCACCGAGGGCACGTGCACCGGCCCCGTCGCCCTACCGTCGACCCGGCCCCGTCGCCCTACCTGCGCACCAACCCCGTCGCCCTACTGTCGACCCGGCCCCGTCGCCCTACCGTCGACCCGGCCCCGTCGCCCTACCTGCGCACCGGCCCCGTCGCCCTACCGTCGACCCGGCCCCGTCGCCCTACCTACGGCCCGGCCCCGGCCCCATCGCCCTACCTCGCGGCGGCCCCGTCGCCCTACCTCGCGGCGGCCCCGTCGACCCGCGCGCCGCCCCCGAGGACCCGTGCGCCCGTCCCCGTCGACCCGCGCGTCGCCCTGCGCCCCCCCCCCTTCCCGCCCACCTGAGTTCACTTTCCGCACACCCGAGTTCGCTTCCCGCATGCTTGTGCACGCTTCGCGCACACCTGAGCGCGCTTACCGCACACTTAGGGTGTGGGGGTGGCGGTTGTGGGGGTGTCGGTTGTGTGCGCCGTCCCCTACTCCTCCTCCTCCTTCGTCTCCCACTGCTGCAGCTGTTGCTGAGGGGGGTGGATGTGTGGGAGACTGGGGTTTAGGGTTTAAGGGGGGGTGCGTGGGAGTGGAGCTAGCGGTGTAGCAGCGGGTGCGTGCCAGGGGGAGTGGGATAGTGTGGGGAAGCTGTATGGAGGTTGCCGTCATGTCGCCAGCAGCACCTGTATTTCGGGGAGTTGCTCCGGTAGCCCAGTCGTAGCCAGCTGTGCCAGCCGCCTGTGGGTCCATTGCTCGTCTGCCGCTACTTTAGCCGCGGGGCCAGTTACTCCAGTATTCCGAAGCGTTGTTCCGGTAGCTGCTGTGCCAGTGTGCCTCCTGTTGCCCGTGTGTCTGCAGCTTCAGCCGTCGCCTCCTATCTCCTCTCCTCTCACTCTCTCTCCTCCTCCTCACTTGCCCGTTGTGACTACCACTAGCTTTGCTCATAATTGTGAACTTTAAACTATTGCTTCTTGAACTTGTGCTCAGAATGTGTGGTGACATTCTGATCCACCCTGAGCTTGTACTGCTTTGCTTGCTCTGCTGATTACACCCCACTTTGGCTATGGGGGTGTGTCAGAATGTTATCTTATGCTCTAGCCTGTAGTGGGGTGCTCTATAGCGAGTTCAACCCTTCTAGGGTTTGCTATTTGTATCCCCATTCTTGCTAGTGCAGCCCCTCTTCTCTTCAAACCTTTCACAAAACTGACACGGAATGCTATTTCTACACGTTCCGAATGTGGTTTCCCGGAAGTATTAGCATAGCCTGGTGGTGACTACGAGACAAATTTGCTCCGTGTTTTTTCACTCGCGGGGGGTTTCCTCGCGTTCCTGCGTGATGTACCAAGAGGCAGTCAGCCGTGTGGTTTATAAAAAACAGCCTTTTTTCTTAGGGAACACTGATGCTTCGGGGTTTTTTTTTTTAAGACACTGATTTTTCAAGTTTATTTTTGTAAAAGACACTGTCAATCATGGATTCCACGCAAAGGGACCCTGATCCCTCTACCTACGTCGTGTCAAATTATATATATGTATTAGGTTTGGGTAGGCTGTAGTGGGGTAGCACCTATGGGGTACAACCCAAAGTTAGGGTTATATTTGTACCCATGTTTCAATCAATCACATCATTCCTGCCTAGTTTCTGAGATGGTATCCAGAGCAGTAGGTCTTTAGGACCTAAGATTAGGGCCCACCTATTACCGCGTTACCTCGCCTACGGCCTTGCGTGCCTGCCTGCCTTGCCTGCTGCCCGCGCGCGCCTCAGCTGCACGCGCGCGTATTCTTTTTTTTTTTAGTGCGCGCCACTTAAGCAGCCCGCGCAGCCCGTTTTCGGCCCCGCGCGCCGCGTCAGCCGCCCGCGCAACCTGCTGCCAGCCCGCGCGCCGCTTAAGCCACCCGCGCGCAGCCCGCTTAGGCCCCGCGCACCGCGTCTGCCGCCCGCGCAGCCCGCTCCTGCCCCGGCGGCCGCCTTAGGAGCGCGAGCGGCGCGCTGCTGCCCCGCGCGCCGCTGTAGGAGCTCGTGTGCGGCCCACTGCTGCCCCGCGAGCCGCCTTAGGAGCCCGCACGCGGCCCACTGCTGCCCTGCGTGCCGCCCTAGCCACTTGTGCACCACCACTGCAGCCTTGCACGCAGCCTCTCCTGACCTACACTTTGCTTTGCCACCTGCGCGCTAGTCCTACCTGCGCTACAAGCATGGCGACTCTCAACGTGCTCGCGTTCGATCCTGACGGTCGTCCAGTAGAGTTCGCCACCTGGCTCGACAACCTGCAACTGTTCCTTCTGACTGATGCCAAGGACGGTGTTTCCCTGTTTACGTGTCTGGCACTGCCGTTGCTCCTACTGACAGTGAGCCTGCTCTAGACCGCTCCCAGTGGCAGACCCGCGATGCTGCTGCACGCCTCGCTATTCGCGACCATCTGCCGATCACAGAGCGCGTGCATTTTAGCCAGCAAAAGACGGCCAAGGCACTGTGCGACGCTGTAGTTGCCCACTACTCTTCCCCGGCCTCTGCAGCCCTCAGTCGACTTATGCTACCCTACCTGTTCCCCGACCTGTCCTCTTTTACCACCGCTGAGGACCTCATCTCTCACCTACGTGCTAGTGACACTCGCCTTCCTGCCGCCCTTCCAGGCGAGTTCCTCGCAGAGAACCACCCTCCGATGTACTTTACTCTCTACTTCCTCATCACCCGCCTCCCTAACACTCTTCGCTCAGTCAGGGACCACTTCCTCGCCCTTGACCCCCATTCTCTCACTGTCAACGACCTCAACAAGCACCTCCTAGCAGCCGAGAAGAACATTCTAGTTGTAGGTGCTGCTCGTGGTACTCCCCGCACTCTCCACTTTGAGGGGTGCTCCCCCTCCCCTCTTACCCCCTCCTACGCCTCCGCGGCTGCTACTGTCGACCTCCTTGGTGCTGAGAAGGTCGTTGTTGTTTCCACTCCGAGTGGGAAGCGCAGTGGCTTCAGGGGAGGCAAGGGTGGCCGGGGTGGCAGACGTGGCGGTGGAGGGGGCGGTGGTGGAGGCGGCGGGGGCGGTGGAGGTAGTGACGGTGGGCGTGGGGGTGGAGGTAGTGGTGGGGGCGGTGGTGGTGCCGGGAGCAGTGGCGGTGGTGGCGGCGGTGGTGGCGGAGGGGGGAGTGGTGGTGGCCGCGGTGGTGGGGGCTTGGGTGAGGCCGGTGGTGGCGAGGGACAGCAGCAGCAGCAACAGCCGCAGTAGCGTTAGCGCCAGACCCCCACTTCCTAGCAGCTTCATGACTGGTATGCCAGGCGTGGGGCGTTTGGGGGTCCTGGTCGTTGCCCCTATATCATTCGCGCAGGTCCCCGCGCTGGTCGCCAGTGCACCGGCTTTCACACTGAGTACCGCTGCTTCACTCGGCTTAGCGATGCCTGGCGCGTTGAGTTTCATGATGCTCCTG